TGTCACTCAGTTTAATTCCTATCATAATTCTTAACGCCTGGCCTTATAAAAACGAATTCTGAAATATTTAATGATTATTTGCTTGCTACATATATATTTATCTATGGTGCCACCCTACATATTTATTTTTCTATGGTGCCACCTACTTATCTGTTCAGTTGACAGCGTCGCTAGTGGATTATTTACTATTGCCATTTAAGAAATTTACCGAGTAAATAGTTGACTACATATTCATTACACATAATCTAAAATAAAACAAATTTCTTTTTAATATAATAAAGTTAGTGTTATTATATATTATATTATTTATATTTTATAAAAATAATTGTGGCGTGATCTCGGAGTTCAAGCGACCGAACTCTAGGAATTCCTGTTTTCAATGATGTGCCCACGTTAGCTACTGGTGCCAACAATTTATCTTCTGCGTCACTGGAATTACTTCAACTATCGCTCTTTAAAGCTACTTCATAGACTACAAACTACAAACCCTGGTATGTTAGATCAATAACAGTAAATTGAGATAATTTTATTACTATGTTTCACGAGTACATTATTTGGCGATTTTAATTATCCATATCTGGCAATACTAACCTGTCACAGCAGCAACGCGTTCATACAGCTTTTCAGCTTTTCAAATATAATTGGGGCTTGTAAGTAAACGTTTGTCTTATTTCATAAAGGATAAAACTTTTAGGATAATCTGCTTTAGGCATTTTATTTGCTCTTTTAAAAACACTGAATAAAAAATAGCTGATAGCGAAATGTTATTTACAAAATGGCGGCCTTAGTTCCAATTTTGTCCACCTGAACAGATAAGTTCGTGGCACTATACCATACTATATAGACATGGGTAAGTAATGCGTGTAATATTACACGAGTAATATTACTCGGAGAAGTGATGCAACATTACTCATTACGCGTCAAATCCAACCATTACACATCACTCACATCACCCGCCCGAAACCATGAAACGAAAAACGTCGCGCGCGATCGGTGTCGTTCGGGCAGCGCGAGCTTCGCGCTGCCCCGCGCTTGTGGTCCGCCAATTCCTGGAATTTCTCCGTGTAATGTATGCAATTTTGGTGTTTATTATAAATATACAAAGGACCATTTCTCCGTAATTATTTTTATGCATTAATGATTTAATGTAATAATAGGTTAGCTTATTTAGATTTGTTTGAGTCAGGTCAGATGTCAGTCGGTCAGTGTTGTATTTTACTAAATAGTAATTGCACGCGTACGTACGTTAGTTACGAGAGATAGTAAATTCGGAATTAACTGGTGGTCGTAATTAATTATTACGTACAGTAGGTATTGTATTACTAAAACTTTTTTTCATCTTAAAACTATTTAATTAAAGACGAAGTATAAATACAAAGTGTAATATTAAACAAAAGTGTGTGTATATAAACTCTTTAGTTAGTGTTAAGCAGAGAATTTTACTTACAGTGCAGTATAACACTAAATTAGATGCTTAGCTAGGTATCTTTTTTGTGTACCTAGGTATTCACGTGTGACTATTAATTAGTGGTGAATTTGTTACCTAAAAAGTGAGAATATGGCATCAAAACGAAAATTTAGTCCTCTCTGGAACCATTTTGACAGCACGGAGCCGAAGAAAGCTAAATGCAACTATTGCTCAAAGATACTAACGTTATCTTCCAGTTCAATTGGGACCTTAAGTAGGCACATGAAAAAAGTCCATCCGACGGTAAATATCACACCGAAAAGGCTTGAGTCAATAGACGAAAGCGAAGAAAATTCCAACCAGAATGCACAAGCGGCCACCACAAGTTCTACAATATCAGTGGTGACTACAACCACTTCTTCTGGGACCATACCAACTGTAACAACAGCTAACATTATATCAGCTACAAAGGGTAAGGTGGCCGCAACTACAGTAAAAGATTACATCGTAGTCAAAAAACCTCTTCCACTAATTAGGACGCAACAGCTGGACGAGCAGCTAATAAAAATGATAGCCAAAGGTTATCATGCCTTCAGACTTGTGGAAGAGAAGGAATTCCAAAAATTCGTGGACATGCTTAATCCTTCATATAAATTGCCCACTCGTAAAACTCTTTCTGAAAGCCTTTTGCCCAAGTTATATAACAGGACGATCGAAAGTATGAAAAAAGAAGTTGGTGGTGGGTCAGCCACTGCCGTTTGCATTACTACTGATGGATGGCGCTCAGTGACGAATGATGATTATATTGGCATCACGGCCCATTTTATCGATCCCGAAACCCACATTTTACGTACTGTCATGATTGGTTGTTTACAATTTAACGAGAGTCACACAATGATAAACATATCGGAATTTCTTAAAGAGAAATTTCGTGAATGGTGCATTGACCAGAAAATTTGTGCGATTGTCAGCGACAACGCGTCTAATATTCTGGGTGCCGTTCGAATCGGCGGGTGTAAGGTTGATAGTATGTGTGTTTCGCACATACTATCAACCTAGTTGTGAAGGACAGCCTAGAAATTATCGCTGATACCGTGATCAAGGTGAAAAATGTGGTGGAGTTCTTCAATAGAAGCTTGCCTGCGCAGAGAAAACTTAAAGATATACAGGAGCAAATGCATTTGGCACCACTGAAATTGAAACAAGACGTGTGCACTAGATGGAATTCTACGTACGATATGCTCAACCGGTTCCTGAAGATAAAAGAAGCTCTTATTGCTTCAATAGCAATCATGAGAGCTGAATTGGCCCTGACGCCCAACGACTGGATGATTATTGAAAAATCCTTACCGATCTTATCCATATTCTACGAGGTGTCTAATGAGGTTAGTGCTGAAAACTACGTGTCCGCATCCAAATATATAGTGTTGTGCAAACTAATGTACGTACAAATTTAAAAGTTTTCGAATGAAACCGTGGAAACCATTAAAGGTCTTGTTTCTTTTTTTAAAACAGAACTTATGCACCGTTTCGGTGATATAGAAAAGAACATGTTGCTTAGGGAAGCCACAATACTGGACCCACGCTTTAAAAAATCTGGTTTCAGGGATATAAGAAACTTCGAAGCGGCGGGAGCCGATTTAAAATTAAAAATTGGGAGGATAGTTCTTTCAGACGAACGCCCTTTGCAACCAGCAGAGCCTGTCGAACCAACCCCAGGTTGCTCAAAAGTAAGCTCACTTTGGGAACAGTTTGACGAAGAAGTGGCACGCCAGGTACCCGAAAATCCGGTTGCTGCGGGTATAGTAGAATTGGACAAGTATATGAATGAGCCGCAAATCAATCGACACTGCGATCCATTATTATGGTGGAAAGAACGGAAAGCCATCTACCCACGCCCTCACTCACACATGCTAAAAAGACTGAATATAACAGCGACATCCGTACCATATGAGCGGGTCTTGTCAAAAGCAGGGCTAACACTTAACGATAGAAGAACGCGCTTAACTACAAAAAAGTTAACGCAGTTAATGTTTATAAGCTGCAACTGAAGAAGTCAGATGAAATGTAAATAATATTGTAAAAACGTATCTTGTCGATTTATGTATATAGTAAAAAAACGCTTCAAGCACAAAATAGAAGATTCTTGTAAATATAAAAAATAATGTACATAATGTATATAATGATCAAAAATCATTGTATATATAAGTTGATTTTTAAATACGCCTTTCTTCAAACAATCGAAGATTGCCAGTCCTAAGCCTGGATGGAGCCCCTTTTTGTTATTTCGTTCGTTCGTGGGCCTAAGTATGAAGGAAAATCAACTTTCCACTCGTGATTAAATATGCATAAATATACTCAACTGCATAACATACCTATTGCGGTCCGTGTACTATACACACATACATACCTACTGTACGTATATACCTACCTACCTACCTACTACTACACTACACGATATCACAGAATAAATAATAGTTACATACACACACATAAAACTTATTTGCTCAAAAAGAATGTTCGATACGATATTCACAATAATTACTTAAAACTTGTTTTGTTGCATTACTTCTCAAGTGATACGAGTGTTGTCCGTCGAATGTGATCGATAGATACCAGTACTATTGTCGGTACTCAGTTGCCTGTAATGCCAAAATCTCGAGTGATGTTTAGGGTGATGGTAATATCACAAAGTGATATCACTCTAACAAAAGTGATGTGTGATGTTGCATCACTTCTTCGGGTACCGTTTTGCGCATGTCTAATACTATACTGAAAACATCTTTTTTTATTTATATATAAGTAACTTTCATTGTAGAGATGCGCAAAACTCGACTCGCACGTATTCTACTAAATAGTTTGACTGATTTAGATCAAATTTGGAATGGCTTGTTTATTCATATCAAAAATAAATAAAATAAATTTAATACAGTGTTTCATGAATTGCAAAGTCATAAAATAGGTAATAGGATAAGTAACCAAGGAAACAATAGCTCTTTTGTTTAAAATGAAAAGCTCATTTCTTGAAACGTATTAATGAAAAATTCACTAACGTACAATTAAAATATCAAATTCCACTAAGTAGGAGCTAATTCCTATATTATACAACTATTTGTAGGTTTGTCATCAATTTAGCTACAATTTGACCTGTAGCTAACGTGGGGTTGTTCTTAGAATAACAATAGAAAGAAATCCTAGAATATAGGAATGTTAGCTCGGTAACTTGGTTTATTAATTCGTATTTGCAAATTGTGATTCGTTCAGAGCGCGTACAAACTATTATCTCACTCACCATTCGCGTGCTGAGTAGTTCGACCTGACGACGCAAATCGACGGCGCGATGAAACCGGTGTAACTCAATCTTTGAATCGATTTGACTCGTTCAATCGTAAACCGATTTGAACAGAATTGTCACATCACTATGACAAACTGACAATCACTGACAGTGACAATGAGGAATTCCAAATTCCCTTCAATTCAGTCATGTATGATTTATCAACTATCTGATAATATCTAAAATCTTACACTAAGAAAAATAAAATACAGACAGAATTCTTAATTTAATTTAAATTGAAAGACTATACGTGTGCCAATGGCAGTTTATGCTGCACATTTAACCCGTACTTTGCAAGGTACTCCATCAATTTTTCAAATCGCTGCTCAGGAAGCTTTGGGATCGACGGTTAAACCAGCGCTCAAAAGACTTATAGAGGTATTTTATAAAAAGTGTCTCCCAACGTTAGATATTAAGGCTGGACTCACACAACCGAAATGCCTCTCTGAATTCATGTTATTAGTTAAGAAAGCCTGGAATTGCATACAATTTAACTATGCTCCTCACTTATTCTCATTTTTTCAGATTAAGATTTTCTCAGATCGATCTGTAAGAATGACACTGATGAGCGTTCTGAATTCCGGATTGGAATATTTAAGATTATGATTTCATAACGCGCATTTTTTTATACATTTGAACACATTAACATGCTTTTATTAACTTAGTGTATATATTTATGTATCGGAATTTTTTAGTGTGATTTTCATCCCCTTCAAAACGTGTGATTGATTTGAAACTTCAAACACTTATCAAGGACAGTTGACAATGTAATAATTTAAATAGTTTGTCCCATTCTCCTTGCCAGGATCCTCAGGATTTGCAAATAATTCATAAAATAACTACGATTTCTGCCAGTTCAACCTACTGTAAGCCGCGTAAAAGAACTTCGATCCAAAAAAAAAAACATGCTTTTGTAGTTACCCACAGTAAAAAAAATTGAAAATAATTGTTTAAAAAAAAATAAAATACATGCTTTTCTAGATAACCGAACTAAAAAGTAGAAAATAATTTTCAATAAGTTTAAAGGGCCATACTATCCACTTACCACACCACTCAGGTAGATTGTGACCTCATTTAACACACTTATTTCTAATATTTAATAAAAAAATATTTTTCTAGTACTTGGCATCTGTGTACCCTAACAAATGTGGATGGTGTGAAAGGTGGTACGATGAGCTATATTTGCTATTAGATTTTTGCCTGCAGTATCACTACTTGAAACACTATGGTGAGTTTATTATGTTATTATACCAGTTACCCATTATTGTGAAACTGTTACCGCTGTAAGGTATTTTATAATATGTATATATTGCTATATTTTTATTTCACAATTTAGTGAAAAAATACTGTTCTTATGCACAACTAATTTATTTCCCCACAAGAAGAGTCATAATCAATAATGTAAACATTTTACTGTTTCTTTATAATCCATTGTGGAATATAACACTTTTCAAGATACAACAACTAAAGAGCATTCAAAGCAGTTTCTATTATTGAATGAATTGGAAATTTATTGTTGTGAAGCACTATGGTTTCAGCACTACATCATTTTTGACCTCCCTTCATAGTTCCTTTATTGGCATGTGATCTATGATGTGCAATAGATAATCAATTTTATAATTTATGTAAATTTAGCATAAGGTACTTATCGTTAAATATTAGACTTCAATTATAGTGTGTATATGTCAATTATATATGTTAAATAAGATAGTTTTCTCCTTCTTTCTATTAGTTTATACTCACTATTCTGAGCAAGGGGAAAATACAAAGCTGATTGCTCCACCCTGGTTTTGCTGCTTTTCAAACCAATCTGTGATATTTGGTTTCAGATTTGTTGGATAGTTTTGCTGCCACTAGGTTGTAGCTAGAACCTCATATGTCAGCCTGTATGGAGACCACTTGCAAATTGCAATATTTAATTTTCTAGCACTCATAGTACTTTCGCTTTGCCAATTAAGGCAAGCTAAGGTCTTTGACCATACAGTCTAGTCTAACTTGTTTTTTGTTCACTAAACTCTTAACAATATGCTAATGCGTCACATTGCAAAGTCCGTGGGAGATTTCTATGACAGCTTAACCCAGCGGACAGTTTATGACAATAATATCTCTTGACTAGACCCCAAAGCAAATTACTTGTTAAAACGGTTCCACTAATTGTTCACATTTGCAGACATTCAATACACAAAATTGCACCACTTATACATGTCAAAACAATCTTCAAAACATTATTCAAACAATAAAATAGGGGCAGCAATTTACCAGTGGTCAAGTTACAGCTAAAATTCGACAGATCCGAATAAAGTAACCTTGACGGCGTGTAGTTTAGATGGAAGAAAGCGCAGTGGCTAAGCGTTGATTGCTGCGCTGCAAGGCTGCATTATCAAACGGATGTACCCAGTGCTTGTATGGCTTAGTTTTTAACTAAAATAACTCAATTAACCATAGAATACAACAATGACATGATAAAATTACATCGTAGCTTAAGTTCTGAATCTGTCTTTTTCAGCTGCCTCGTTCTCGGAATGTTTCTATGGTTTGTTGCGTGTACCAATAAGCCCTAGCAATGAGTTTCACTCTGGAACTCGGCTACCTGAAGGGCTGGAAAAAGGTTCCTTGATACTACTTGTATTTGTGCCATATTTGAAGGACAAAGTTGAACGGATCGTAGAAAAATGGAGGGAAGACAATGAAGATGGGTATCTGGGTAAGGTAAGTTTTTAATGAAAATTATTTTAACAATTGACTTACTTCATACGTGGTAGAGCCATGCTGCAGCTGTATTAATAGTATAGTTGTAGCATGAATGGGTCGCCCCTGAGGTGCCCTTTCATTTTTAACATATTTGAGGCATTAAGATATTATGTAATATGAGATCGTCTCTATATGTAAAAGCAATAGCGTGCACAATCATTCTGTACCCTCTGGATTAATTTTTGTGATTTTTTAAGCAAACAAAAATTAAATTATTGTATAACTGTTTATGGACCATAAACAGTTATACAATAATTTAATATAGCTAAAACTAGGGTTCCACAAAGCTTTATTCATAGTCATTTATTCCATTACTATTCTCTGTCTGCGAAATATTATCACCGGACATGTCGTCCAAATCAGGGAAGACGATTCTTCACGATTTATTTTTAATGGTGTATCATCAATTCTGTGTCGTCTTTTAGTGACATTTGTACAAATAGGGCACTTCCATGTTCGCTTGAGTTGTTGAAAATTGCCCTTAAATTTTGCCGTTGTAATATTCAAAATTCTGTAATGATAAGTTCCTTTACACGTAACATCCCAATAATTCTCCCTGCTCAATAGAATTCGGACATGCTAAGCATTTCATATTTACAGCTTACCAAAAGATCTTAACAAATAAACAAATTAACTTTATGCAAGTCATACACTTGTATGACTTGCATAAAGAAATTGAAATTGCTTTTACTTATACCCACTTGGTTATAAAGTAAAAGTAATTTCAATGACAACATGGTAGTCGTTTTGGTATTGAAGTCCAGTGTTTTGCAAAATAATCACTTGTCTCCTTTTGTAATGTTTGCATTTAAAAAACACTTTATTTCAAATATAATGTCCACAGTTTCACTTTTACAATTTCACATGCATAACTTTTAAGTTTAAATATAAACTTTAACAACAATAATTATTTTTTAAAACCGGAGCTAGCATTATTGATGTTAACACAGCGATGAGCGCGCATTGTCCTCTTAATAATACGATAAACAAACTACGTTTATCCTACACTGGTAATACACTTCCTGCCAACAAACAATTTGGAGCGTGTTCCAACGCTAGAGCGCGCGCCAATGTTCGACCTCTTGGAGCGCATAATCGATACGCGGCTTAGCACGAAAGAAGAGTGAGGACTAAGATGGAATGCCTCTTTTCCAATAGAAAGGGTCTCCGGTTCACCACACTCACCATACGAAACATAGCATAGTATTAAGCTGCCATTTTACGTTGGTATTCTGTGAGAGCATGGTTCTTCCCCGGTCGAGCCGACCCATTCGTGCTACAACTATACTACTAATATAGCTGCACCATGTAAAACGCACTGAAAACACTTAACCATTCCATCCACGATTACCCCATGTTGACTCGTGGGTACCGAAGAAGTAAGAAGTGAGAGTAAGAGGCGACAAAGGGAAAGTTAACAGCAGATGAGCAGCAACATCTTCTTGATAACAACTCAACTTAAGATAGAAGAAGAAGAAGAATAGCTGCGGTTGCCAAGCGTGATACCTATGGTCAAAATCTGTCCTATGAGGCGATGTGTAGGGAAAGACTTTGATGGGCGGTAATGGAATAAACGGATGAAAGAAAACTAAAGTAAACTAAAGTAACTGAAGTAACCTATTACGTGAGGCGCCAATCACCCGCGCATTACGTACACTCAATGCGGTGGCTGAGTGAATAGATTTATTTGGATGTTTTCTGAACGAGTTCACAAAGGCTACCTTGTTATTTCTATGTTTTAGTTTATAAACTTATGTCTAACATAACTAAAGTATTTAACTTATCTATCGTATCAGGGCAATCCTGTAATGATAGTAATAAGTGGATGTATAATAAATAAATAAATAAATAAATAATAAAAAACTAACAGCTTATACTGCTGGGCACAGACCTAGGAGAAGAGAGCCTGCAGCGGTGTCCGAGTGTGTATTGATGGACTTCACATTTCCTGGATTTCTTCTTTATTTCTCAATCACGCAGATTTCCTCATAATTTTTGCCTTCATTGCCCAGCTCATGGTAACTCAACATTTAAAATTGCAATTAACATAAATATAAAATTTTAACGTAGTGAGACTCACAAAATCCACGGCTTACAAAAAAAAATTAAATAATGCTTGATATTTTTAAAATTATTATCAATTTTGGCATATTTATTCATCCTTGTTTATTTTAGAGCACTGGCGATCGAGCACGCAAAGCCGCGATAAAACTATACTCCATAACTCACTTTGTACTGGAGACAGCAAAGCTGGTTCAACTTGCACGTTACCTGACGGGTCGCACTGTGTCGCCGGCCTTAGAATTGGCTTTACTTGGTTTAACAGTAAAAGATGCACCACCTCCTGAACCTGAGGAGTACACTTGGTCGGATTTGTTTAGAAGTCTCAGGGCTGGGCAAATGAGGTAACTTTAAAATTAAAAAGTTATGGAAGTTGACACCTAAGATAGGCATCACAATTGTCTTATTTTAACCTCCGATGAAAACAGAGGGGTGTTATAATATGTTTGTAGTGTGTACATGTGTGTCTGTCTTTTTTTTTTATAGGATCGGGTGACAAACGAGCACACAGTCCACCTGATGGTAAGTGGTTACTGTGACTCATAGACATCTACATCTATCCTCTATTGTTATTAAGCGTTATTGTACGCTGGTTTTCTGTGAGAGCGTGATCCTTCCCCGGTCGAGCCGACCCTTTCGTGCTACAACCATAATATAGCTGCAGCATGGCTCTACCACGTAGAGGTTCTACGTGGTAGAGCCTACGTACCTGTCTGTGGTATCTTAGCTCCTAAATGGATAAACCGATTTTGATTAGGTTTTTTTTAAGTTTGAAAGGTGTCTTAATCGAGAGTGTTTTTAGGTATGTTTCAAGAAAATCTGTTCAGCTGTTTGAAGATCATCAGCTCTTTTTGTTTCGGGTGTTTTATACACATTGAGTTATATGTACTACGTACTAGAGAAGCTATTCCAAACAAAAATTGTGCGCTACTCTATGAATTCGCGCATGCGCGGGAAATAGTAGAGTCGCACATGCGCGAAGAAAATTAATATAATATAAGATATTAATATAAAATAAATATAAGAATTTATTATAAAATACTCTTATTTTAATCTTATGGAATTCACAAATCTTCAATTTACGCAATATTTTGTTTAGTGTACGGATTGCAGTACATTTCAATTGAATGAACATAGTTAATGTTCGGTATGCGAAATCTAGTGCGAAGTACATATATATCGATGTTTATACATTTTTAATTTAAGTTATTAAACATAAATCTATACATATAAATAAAATTGAAGTCTGCCTGTAATATTAAAATAACTGCCGTTGATTGTGCTAAGGGCGTTATTTGGATAACCATTTTTAAAAACTGTCTCTCCGTCCGGCCTAATCTTCAGAATGACTGAACCGATTGCTTGGAGTGATCTAGGCTATATGTATTTCATTTGAAGCACTTTGAATTTTTTGAAAAATGAACTTGTTCTATAAAAAAATGTGTTGTATTCGCGTAAACATAAAAAATCATTATGATGGATTCTCTTACGTCGGTACATGGTAATATCCGCAGATTCAAATCAATTGAATTCCCTACGTCGAGAGAAAACAAATTATTTTATTTGCACGCACCAATCGTCTTTGTTTATAGCGATGCATCGTTATCGTTCCCGCTCCTGGGCCGTGGGCTGCTTAGCGCAGTACAGTACGGAGCGTTTGCAGTGCAGTTGTTACGCTGGTGGGAGGCACGAGCCCCACCCATTACAGCTTTGCCATTACCCAAGCCACCAGAGGTAAGCATTTCATACTTTACAGTATAGTTGTACGGGTGTACAATCCAATATTAACTTAAAATTAAATGGAAGCCACTCCCTTCATCGTTAAATTAATTTCAAGTAATTAATGGAATCGTCAAATAATAATTAAAAATTAAAAAATTGTACAACCGACTTCAAATTAAGTTATTAAGAATAACTCAAAAACTATTGGTCAGATCTTGATCAAATTTATACGGAACCACATGAGAAGCACCGATTTCAAATAAAAAAAAGAATCATCGAATTCGGTTCACCCGAAAAAAAGTTATGAGGTAACACACATAAAAAAATAACACAGTCGAATTGAGTAACTCCTCATTTTTGAAGTCGGTAGAAAAATAACTAAATCTCATTTGGGAATGGAGGGTGGTGTTCACGGAGCAAATACAAAGAGGAGACGACCTAAGCAACTGTGCACTGTGGTTCTAACTAGGTCCTGACGTCAGTGACGTTAGTTTACGTGGTAGAGCCATGCTGCAGCTATACTATGGTTGTAGCACGAATGGGTCGGCTCGACCGGGGAAGGACCACGCTCTCACAGAAAACCAGCGTAAAATAGCAGCTTAACGCTGCTGTGTTTCGTATGGTGAGTGTAGAGAACCGGAGACCCTTTTTACTGGCAGGAGAGGCATTCCATCTTAGTCCTCACGGGTGACAACGCATCTGCATCTTGAGTCTTTATTGAGGATAGATGTAGATGTCTATGGGCCACAGCAACCACTTACCATCAGGTGGACTGTGTGCTCGTTTGTCACCCGATCCTATAAAAAAAAAATCACTGTGGGCGTGGCTTTAACTTTAGTATTCTGTCAGCGTTCGTCCTGTGCTGTCCTGTCGAAAATCGCAAATCGGTGAATTTTGTAGCATTAATAAGAAAAGGATGAAGTGTTGTGTTTTACCATGTAAAAACTACTCAGACGCTCTGATGTTATGGATGGCATCATATTTCATTTGTAAGTAATTTTATACCTAATTAAAATAGTTCTAAAAAATTCTTTGCGTAAATCTGAAAATGTAATTAAATATATTCAACACTAGACGGCGGCACCTTGTGTCATGGGAATTAAAAATATAAATGTACATAGAGCTCAGTATTGATAAAATAATCATACGAAGGTGCTGAAATTTGTTTTGCATTCAGTCCTAACGAATTTTTAATCGCCAAAATATTATTTTTATTGTTTTTATAATCATTTTGTGTACAGGCCGCCATCTATCGTCAAGGTAGCTAAACTACATTGCAACATCGATATGGAACGATGCGAGTGGTTTTACTGTTTATCGGTAGATGGAAATAGTTAGTGGGCGGGGCTTAACACCCCTCACCCCACAAATCGTCACGCGTTGTTACATAGTGAAGTCTAATTACAACACCTCCTCTTTGTATTTGCTCCGTGCTGGTATTTGTCAAGAACTCATGAGTACTTGCGAATCTTAATAAAATACAAAAATTATTTAACATAATATATAGAAGACATCACTGAAAATAACACTGATTTCTACCAAGAATGTATCGTGAGGCCATTGAAATAAACAGAAATATCCACATTTCAATAGAGATTATGACTGAGTGCCATTATCTCTTTAGGACCATATAATTATGGTTAATTAAATCCAAACCTAAGCATACAACTGCAAGACTTAAGAGATTGTAATTTTATTTTGCGTAAATCGAACCAATAACTAATCATTAAAAAGTAAAAGACCTAACTATATCATTAGAACATTATCCATGGGAGTGGGTGTCTTCAAGGCAAGAGTGAATAGGCTTATGTTAACGTGCGCGCTTCACCATCTTGGATACATCACCACTTACCATGAGGTGGGATTGTAGTTAATCGCTGGCTTAGTATAATATAAAAAAGAGTGTAAAACAAACATGTAAATCAAACGCGATAAAGTCCGCGACAATTCATTTTATTCAAAATTTTTGGATAATTTCCGCCTGTGATAAACCATATTATAACCAGCCAAAAATTATCATTACCACAACTAAAAAAAAATCAATGAATAATAATTGGAATCCACAGAAAACTGAACAGACGCTCAGATGGAAGAACAAATGCCCGGTTTGTCTGCAGTCCTGGAAGGTGCCGACAGTGTTGCCTGTCTCTGGGTATATACATATTCTTTATATATTTGTTTATCGTAATTTTTCAAACAAACACTGGTCTCTCCCATAATAAGGAAGCTTTTCTGTAATCCTTTTTACATTTAAGAAAAAAGTAAAGATGCAACCAATTTTGACGGCACCATGGCGCAGTTGAGCATTGAGTTGCAGCGCCAAGGGCCGCAGGTTCGAATCCCGTTCGGAAAAAGTATTTGTAGAGCCTACAAATAATTGTCCCAAATCTGGATGTTTGTCCTTGTGCAATTTATGTTTGTAAACTGCCTTGCACCATATAAGAGAAAATCGTAGTGTAGGGGTCATGTTTTTTAATAACATTAATAATACATCCCACACAGGCCTTTTATTTCAGAGAGGGATATGAAACAATTAACACCAGTGACCACACATCTGCATTTTATAGTGTACCTATTGTATGGCTGGGTGATCCATACTGCAGCCATATACTCTGATAGAGCCATGCTGCAGTTATATTATAGTTGTAGCACGAATGGGTCGAAAGGACGCGTTCTCACAGAATACATGCGAAAAATAGCAGCTTATTGCTTCTATGTTTCTAATGGCGGGTGTAGAAAACCGGAGACATTTTTTACTACATACGAGCCATTCTATCTTAGTCCTCAGGGCTGACAACGCATCTACATATTGAATCTTAATCGAGGGTAATTGTAGATGTTTATGGGCCGCAGTTGGACTTACCATCAGGTGGCCAGTGTGCTTGTATGTCACCCTTATTCTATAACAATAAAATACAGTCGGTGAAATTTACTTGAGGCGCTTTGACGCTTTCGTATTTTTACAAAGTTATCAGAAGTCCAATATTATTCTATTTATTAGATATTTTATTTATCCAGCTATGAAGGTTGAGTCGGATACAAATAGGTGATGCCTGATGGTTAAATTGGTTAAACTTAAATGTATTCGATTTATTCATGACTAAATCAGGAGATGCAGCGGCATCTTCCTGATAACAACAAAATAAAAATAAAAAGGTTTATACGTGGTAGAGCCATGCTGCAGCTTTATTATGGTTGTAGCACGAATGAGTCGGCTCGGCAGAGTAAGGACCGCGCTCTCACAGAATATCAGCGTAAAATAGCAACTTAACGCTGCTGTGTTTCGTATGGTGAGTGTAGAGAACCGGAGACCCTTTTTACTGGAAACGAGGCATTCCATCTTAGATCTCACGGGTGACAACGCATCTACATTTTGATTCTTAATCGAAGATAGATATAGATGTCTATGGGCCACAGCAACCACTTACCATCTTGTGGACTGTGTGCTCGTTTGTCATCCTTATCCTATAAAAAAAAGGTCGAAATGCCCTCATGAGGCAATCTGTGAGGGAGGCCTATGTTCAGCAGTGGATTTTTATGGGCTGTAATGGATGGATGACTGACTAATCTATTAAAATGAAACTAGTTAGTTTTTTATAATTTTGAAAATGGCCCGCATATTGCAGATACGTGTTCTGTTACGGGTGTGTTTCCCGGCACGTGCGCGCGAACGGCACTTGCCCGGTGACGCGACTGCCCACTTCTGAGCACACACTTGTACGTCTCTACCTTGGCGTCTGATACAGTTGAACAATGATAGTTTGTTGTTACTCTCAAGACTGACTTGATATTTGGACGACGGAAAATACGAAAGTAAAAAACAAATTAGATGAAGAAATAGAAGAACACTTCTGACGGTTTGTAGTTGTTTTTATTTTGTGGGTTGTAAAATGTAGTCAGGGATTAAGACGACGTATCTTTTAATTTATTAAACCTGTGAATGTTTAATGTCTAAATCTACTTAAACGTAATTATTGCGAAAATCAATCTTTAAATAAAAAAATACATACGGACAAGAGTTGTGTGAAGACAGAAATAATCATAATGCAAGTCGCGGCACGTAAGTCTAGCGATGAACGAAACGTGGAGGAGATAGCTGCGCATGGATACTGTCGCACACGTATCAGTACGGGAGACGGATTGCGACTGGAGAGCCAATCAGCGCGTGCGAACGATACGCAAAGCCAATCAGCTCGTGCGAACAATACGCAGCGCCAATCAGCGCATGCAAACGATACGCAGAGCCAATCAGCGCGTGTGAACGATAGACTTACGTGCCGCGACTTATAACTGGCTCGATAAAAAAAAATCAATAAGATGTCATTGTACATTTGAGATTAAATAGCTACTTAAACATGTACATACCTTGCAGAGATTCAATAATGGAACCGTGTAAAATCTATATACGAAATGTAAAGACTTCATATATTTTTTTTACAGACTGATACTTCAATTTTATATAGATGTATAGGCATACGAAGACTTATATCGTTTTTTAAATTCCGGTGTGCATGTGTTCGAACTCTCCTCCTAAACAACTTGACCGATATTGATGAAATTTGTAAGGGGTACTTATGGGGTCACCTTGATGGTTCCTTTGCTATAGTCTGACCCGGCAGGTAGATATCCAGAAATCACCCATGCGAAGCCGGGCCGGACCGCTAATAGCTTGTATTTTTCCCTTTGCATCGAAGTTAATTATGAGCTTCGTTATTGATTTGAACAGCTCAGAACTGATATTTGGGCGGAGGTTTATTGAAACGATTGGACAATTGTGCAGTGCCAGCGTTACATTAACGTTTAGCCAGTCTGGTCACTCATAACATCGCCATTTTGTTTACGTTGTAGATCTCGTATGATTACCAGTGCGAAGTAATAAAATATTTTGTAGAAATTATTCACGGTATGAATGATTAAGGATATCCAACCCAACTGTCTCTGATAAGGTTTTGATTATATACACAATTTTCGTTGTATAGGAAACAGAAACAGTAACTTTTGTATTCACCACTTTTACACACCACACTTTTGTTTATTTACCACTGATTCGGAAAAATATCTCTGTCCTAGGAGTAACCAGCAAGAAACCCAGCAGGACTTTATTCAAAAAAAAAATTACAGCTTATATCATATATGATACACAATAACACAAAACAAATTAGAAATAGCTTGGTAGCGATCACCTCATTCCCAGGGGATTTTATGTTCCATAAATTCCTTCATATTATAATAACCCTTTTTATACAAACTTTATTTAATTAAGTTTTTGAACTTTGAGCATGTCAAATTTTGTATTAAATAAGGTCAACGTTTCCTAATAACGAAATTCCAAGGGATAACTTAAGTCTGTGATGATATTCAAATTTATTTATTTATGGGAATCAATTAGTAGTATTTTTTACGCAAGTTGTTTTTGCTCTGTTAAAATTATGGTAAATTATAATGTTAACATTGTTAAATTGTTCAAATGTTTTATTGTTTGGTGGAAATATAAATGAAATATACAAATCCATTCAAATTACTTTTATTTAATTTTCATAGGAATACTTACCTACGTCTCTTAAAATTAAATAGGTATTTATTTCATGGACACAAGTACGCCAACAGTTATTGTAACACCGTGGCTGGATTATTAGGTAGGTATCTAATTTATTTTAGAAAAGAAGCGCACATATTTGAGGAAAGGCTTGCTTTGTAACGCTTATAACCTATATGTTGTATATTTTTTTATCAATTTGACCAGTACCATGCCAAGCTCGCCGTTTGAAGTATTCGTGATAAGTTTTCGGCGTGGTGAAGAAGAATAAACAATGAAACCTTTCCATAAAAATAAATACCTTTATTTGATAAATAAAAATCATATACTTTGCCTTCGTCCAAAAATTTGCACACAATAACTACCATATTCAAAATTAAAGATACTGAACATCCGACGCGTGCACGCCGTGAAGATATTGATGGGCTATTTGGCGGCCATTCTGAGTGATCACAGACAATCTAGGAATCGCACCGGTCAATAAAATAGGTCTGACAGGCAGTTCCGCTGATACTTCTGGTGGCGATAGCTCCGCTATATAACTACGTAGTTCATCGCGGGATTGAAAAGTTTTATCGCCGTACATGAGATCGCCATTCATCGGGTGTACTATTTCCCATGGTAGCGAAGTTTCGAAGTACCCACCTTCACCCTGAAATAAAGCGTAATGTAATTTTAAACCATTACAGCCTTTTAAAGTCCACTGTTAAACATAGGCCTCCCCCATAGATTGCCTCATAGGGGGGAACCCGCCATAAATAATTAAAATATAATTTTAAATTATGTTTTAATTATTTACGATATTCTTGAAGCTGTGTGGTGGCGGAATTTTTTTATAGGTTAGGGGGCAAGCAAACATGCGAATCAGCTGATGATAAGTGTCGACCACCGCCAATAAACAACTGCAACACCAGGGAAATTGCAGATGCGTTGCCGACCTTTTAAAAAGCACGTTTGTTTGGAGCTCCCTAAGTCCATTCGGAATAAGGTTAAGGTAAGAATGAGGTTTCCAAAACATGATATAATAAAAGGTAATGACTCAGGCACACTATGCTCCTCGCGCTGCCGCGATGTTGCCATCTCTGCCTACACACTACTCTACTCGCGCAATAAATCACGACGCTCCGCACTAGGTCACTCTCGTTTCCACCATAATGGATGTTGAAACTGCGGCAGCGTGCGCGCTGTATGCATATTTATTATAGCTCATTATATCAATGTCATAAAAAGAAATATACGTAGTCATCCTCGCCAACAGAGACGGTGGATGACACCTTTTCATCCCATTAGAACGACGCTCCCGTAACGAGCGCTCGACTCGGACTGCGTTCGCGCGAGTATGTGGCCAGCCACTCGTGCTCACATTGCCAGTCCCAAAAAACCAACAAAACAGGGAGTGATGAGCACGATGAGTATTATGACCACACTACGTCTCCGCCTTCTTTCCTCGCTACTTCCAATGCCACTCGACGTAAAATCATCTCGTTTTTTTTTTTATAGGAGAGGGGGCAAACGAGCATGCGGCTCACCTGATGATAAATGACTACCGACGCCCATGAACAACTGCAACACCAGGGGAATTGCAGATGCGTTGCCGGCCTTTTAAAAAGGAGTAGGCTCTTTTCTTGAAGGTCCCTAAGTCGTATCGGTCCGGAAAAATAGCTGGTGGTAATCGATTCCACAACGGAGTTGTGCGAGGAAGAAAACATCTAAATCTCAGTGGTGGACCGCCAATCATCCAGGTGGTGTGGATGGTATCGCAAGTTTTGTCGCGATGTGCGATGGTGAAATTGAGCGGCTGGAATTAGTCCGAACAATTCCTCACAACACGCCAGACGTGAAATACCAGGCCGGCGACGGGGAACAGGGTTGAAGGTGAGAGACGTCGAGTACTACGATCGTCCGACCGCCTGTCAAGCGTAAAGATTAAAGCCAACCCTCTCGAACAATTTAAAATTATAGCGTAGTGGCGGAATGTCCACTAACCTATATCATCGCGTGGGTGTCGTAAGAGGCGACTGTTTGAAACAAATCAGGAGATGAGTAGCAGGCATGCTATGAGGCAATCTATAGGGGAGGCCTAGGGGGTTCAGCAGTGGACTTTAATAGGATGTAACGGTAATTTAAAATTACAAGTACCTAAAAAGTATGGCTTATGAAGGTTCCGGCGTTGCAACTAAAGTCTGTTCGGCGAGAGTTGATCTGGTACAGAATGCCTCAAGGCATTAAGTCTGCCCTTTATATTCTTTTAGATTAAGGAATGCAATAAATAAATAAATAGATATTATGAAAACGTCTCGCAATAGCGACTTAACAATCTGTGTAGCGGACTTCGCTTATAACCGCAAGCACAGAGTTTTGTGGTACAAGGCGAGGAGTTGTCAAACACGAAGCCGGGCGGGCCGACGCGTCAGCCATTTTGTTATTAAACAGCAAAAATAAAATTGCGAGCCGCAATTTCTAATAAGTTTAGGAACCCTGCTTTTTTATCAACTCTAGCCGCCGAATATACCTTACCAAACAGTACATAAGCTTTTCGACTAATGCCATACCTCAAAAGTGGAGACAGCGTAATGATTACCCCTCTTAGCGGTAACAACAGAAACAAGCGCGCCCTCTTTGTTAACTATAGGGGTGCCAGCTATGTAATGGTTGGCAGATTCGAAAGTAGCAGCACAGCGCCACTGTGCTAGACAGCCGTCGCTCGATACCATCAGGATACGCTTGCTCCGGTTTATAAATATCTGGAAACAATTTTTTACGTTTTTTATCACTGCAACAATCGTGGTGGTGTTTGTTTTTGATGCATCCAGACAATTATTTGCATATCACACAAAAGTATAAGTTAAATATATATTTTAATAATAATAAGTTTGTAGTATCTGTGTCTGTCTGTCTGTTTATGAATAAATGCTATTTAGTCTATTTTTTTTTAATTTGGTTTTTCTTAAACACTTAGTCGGCGGTTATTTAGACCTACTAAATTTCACCATAGGTCTCATTATACTCCTTTTTCTTGTGTAGTTTTTTGTTTTATTATGAATTTTATATCACTTTTAAAATGTTATAAATGCAAATAAATCGTATGCTTTTATTATTAATGTCGTAGTCAGAAAAAGGCCTGGTTTCAGCTGTCCAAACAGTGCAAAGACCAAGTATGTCTAAGAATTAAGGCATTGGCATTAGAAGCTATTCAATTATGTGTAAATTATTATTCCTGCGCTTAAACTCTCTCGGACCGTGTCGGATTGCGATTTGATGATTGTGAGAGAATAGAGAGTGCACCTGTGCTTGCGCATACATCGGATATTATAATTCTGTACTGTGCTGATGGGCTAGTCTCCGTTGGGACTGGCCGCTCTGACAGAATTTTGGTTGGGAGGACACTCAACCCAACATTAAACCCAATTCTCAACCCCACCTAACACTCTACACAACTCGAGATACAACCAACGCACTGATAATAATCACGAAGAATGAGTTTGTTCGTCAGTTTGTTCATAATTATACTAATGACTTTCAGTATTATTTGGCGAGGCAATTTATACAGGGTATTTTTGGAACGCTCCCGAAAACGAAGACAGAGGACAGTACCGTTGATGATGGGTGGAATATAAAATCGATCCTGATGAAAGAAAAATCATCTTTTCACATCGTTTTATTAGCTTTATTCATTCGCTATCATGTTAGTACAGCTAAATGAAACGATAATTTCATAAAAAAATTCATGAAAATACTGAAACATAAAACATACTGAATTGCAATCAGCTGACTAGAGGTCAATGTACGCGCAAACGCCTAAATGTTATAGGTCCGGTCCCGTAAAAAGGACGCTGGCCTTGAACCTGGGCACTGAGCGATTTATCACTGATTGGTACGAAGGGGGCGCGACGGGGGAACAATCCAGCAGTATTACTGTGCCCGCATGCTATTGGTCCCCGCGCTTTGTTCGCTCCCAAAATACAGTTGCATACACAGCTTACTATGCGACTCGCGACGATGGTTTTAAAAAGGAAGGAAAGAAAAATATCTATTGTTTTATGACTGAACTAGTGAACGAAAAGGTAAATATGATAGGAGAAGGTGAATGGGGAAAATTGTCCAGTAAAGTTAAAAGTGTTGAGGAAGAATACCGAAAAAATTACCATGTGATCGACCTGATGACGGAAGCTCAAGCGAAGATGAAAGTGATGATGAAGTAGCATCCAGTAACACCAACACACCATCGACATCTGGCTTCCACGTGACCCAAGACGACATAATGGACGGCGTGTCACCCTTAGCTTAAGTTTTCTTGTTACAAACTACTTTATATTTTACGATAGAAATAACAAATAATGCTCAAGTAAACATTATCCATTTTTAATTCCAACTTCTTCCAAAGTTCTAAGTAACTAGTAAAACACCTATTATGATTCTACAATAAAATAATTAATTACTATAATATTATAAAACAATAGCCTTACTTAGCCGTAGTACTTTAGAACGGGACTGTACCCATGCGCAGACACTCCCTCCACTGCATTGAATTGGCAACGCTGCCAAGTTGCACCGAAATTTAGTTTGCCGGCGACATAAGAATTAGAGGCGGCAATCACTATAAAACTTGCAAGTCATTTTTAATAATTTACGTATCTCTTTTTAAATTCAAAGTATTGGCCGGATTAAATACGGAAAGTCAATTGAAATAAAGTAAAAGTATTATTTTTTACATTAATTTTAACTATTAAATTATTCAGTACTATTTCATTTCTATTTTCTTATACAAAATCAAAGATAACGATGAAATAGTGTTTATAATTGTGTGAGTACTGAGTACCCAATTAGTTACGCTTATAAATTTCAATAATTTTTGTAGTAAAGAACTGCTTGTTGCGTCAGGGTACAATTGATTGTGTAATTGTATTAAAAATGATAACCATAACTTTTAAATTCCATATGAAGACTAGTCGTAGGGATAAAACTTATAAATTAAATAAACGTTGGCGATGTCTTAACATACGTAACGCTTTAACGGTGTGGAAAGTTCCAGTGCTTCAATGACTTTGCCTTATGTGCGCATTTTCTTTGGCGGAATAGATTAATAATTTTAGTTTTTGAGACAGTTCCGTATTGACTATCACGAGAGTCACTACAATTGTTTTGTTTATTAAATTATTCTTGTTATTTATTACTTAATGATATTATTCTTGTTTTTACGGTTTAAGTTTCTTGTTTTGTTTTTATAATGCCCAACGCGTACGTTTAAAGTGCTCGTGAATACGACAACGTGTTAATGTGCCTTGGAGAAGCTCGCGGGAATGCTTCACGTGCATTATGAATTTACCGAGTGAAATTCCCGACCGCTCGAAATCCAGCTGACTCTCGTCTGAAACAGCAGCATTTCAGCGAGTGTTGGAAAATCGGCTCATTGCTCTGGTAGCGGCAGAAGGTGGAAGTCAAGTGGCTGTTCACTCAGAGGAGCGCATTTTAGATGTCGTTCGGCGGAATCTGAACCTAGGTACACGAAGTATCGCTAAATTGTTAAGGCGTCGGGATGGCACAAGTGTGTCATACAGTACAGTTCACAAAGTGTTAAAGCGTTGCCCATAAAAAGTGTACAAAGTGCAAGCTTTAGTTCCCGGCGATCACGACCGCCGGCAAATTTACTGCCTTGGTTATTAGACCAGCTACAACGTGAGGATTTAGAGCGGTAAGCTGTTTCATATCTAATTTTTTTAAATAACTTAGTACTGAACTAATCTCAATAGGTACATAACTGAATACATGAGAATAATAAACATACCTACACGATGAATAAAAACCCATGACTCTAACCTTGGTTACATTTCATTTAAGTAAGTATAAAGCTAATAAAACGTTGTGAAAAGATGATTTTGCTATCATCAGAATCGATTTTATATTCCATCCATCATCAAAGGTATAGTTGGTACTGTCGTCTGTCTTCGTATTCGGGAGCGTTCCAAAAATACCCTGTATATATTTTTTTAGAATTTTAAGTCTTAATTGCTGCATTGGTGTGATTATTGATCACAAATATTAAATATATTACGTATAAACTGATTATTTGAGTTCGTTATAGCAGTAGGCCTGCTGGTCCTTATTACCCTACCATAGTAAAATAAGGCATACTAGCAAGGTTTTTAGAAATGTTAAATTTTGTTTTTCTTTATGGCAAATGCTACAAATATTCGTTCATACTTTATAGAAACTGTACTAAAGTAATGATTTCTATTAACATCTGTAGATCAAATTAGATATTTTTGATTTTATTTTTGATTTTCCCTTAGCTAGGCCTTATTACTCGGAGGTACCTTACAACTTCTAAGATTTGACGGAATTTTTTCATTAACGAATATGCATCTTGGCTCATCCGAGAGTTAATACGGTATTACTCAGGCCTTTAAATGATGCTGTATCCGGCGGGACTGCGAGATTTAACTTTACTTTTGTATTCAGCGTGGTAAATATAGACAACTCTTACCAGCAATGCATGCCAGCTAGCGAATTCTATTCCATATGATATTCTACAATTGACTTAAAGGCTGAAGAATACTCACTTATATTACCATCGTACACCGTTCTAAATTAGCAAGATCATGACAACACTATTGGGGCAATAATAAACCAGTTGTGTTAGCATCGTTTCAGGTGAAATTGCAGTATGGAATATAGAATATTATTATATCTATTAAAACCAAACATATTGAAAGTATATTGAATAAAACTATTTTTACGGATATTATCGCGTTTAGTTTATCAATAAATCCGCAAAAATAGTTTTATTCAATGTGTAGTGTTCGCGTAAATATAAGAAATCATTATATTGAAAAAACGACCAAATATGCTTATCATTAACATCGCTGCCCTATCAGAATCTCAAGTCTTTTCACTCGTACCTTTTCAGCAGTGTTCTCATCAAGACGCACATATGCAAGTTCGCCGAGGGGTGCGAGAAGCTTCTCCGTGAACACGTCGCAGTAGTGATGTGTGCTTTTCGCCCGCTCTGTTACCTAAAAACATAGTCTGAGTGATAACATCTATTTATATATACATTAATTTTAAACGGCAACGAACATTTTTTAGCACTTCTGAGTTTGAAGTTACAATGTATAATTATCCCTCATAGTACACTGCTTCACAATATGTTGATGCGTCACATTGTGCAGCTCTTGGGAGACGGCAACTTAAGCCAGCAGACAGCAGACAGTTGGCGATGGTATCTCAAGGCGCCTAAGCAGACAGACACCTTATCTTGAGAATCACAATCACATCACCATCAGAGCACTTGTTTCACCGTTTCCACTAATAGTTCACATGCCCAGACACTTAATACACAAAATCGCACCACTTTTACATATCAAAGTCCACTTCAAACCATTATTTAAACAATAATACAGGAGCAGCAAACCGCCGCCGGTCAAGTTCCCGCTAATACTGACCCGACAACGAACATTAAGGTTAAAAAATCATAATTTAGATACGTAATTTTTGACGGTGGAAGAAAAAGGGGAAATCTCCCACGGGCAAGGTGTTCAGCCCAGGGAGCGGCCAGCGCTCCGTGTGTTATTTCGGAGCTGTTCTATATACAGCGGGCTAACTTCAGAACATTGATAGCGCGATTTACTACACAGGCTACAGTGCGTTTCGCTTGTGGCGCGATGACAGCGCCGCCACAAATAAATTTCTACATCTTCATCGACGCATAAAAGTCCACAGCTGAACATGAGTCTCTCCCGATCACAATACCAAAAGTTTCGCATCTTTAACGCTGCTATCCGTCAAAGGTCTGGGTATTTAAAATCTGGCATAAACTAGATGGTTAAACCACCATCCATCGGAAGCTATAAGATTTTTTGACATTTTAACCAACTTTTCAAGATAATTTAAGCAACTTTTCCAAGGCGCAGGTTCGGTCTCACATGCAGTACTATTTTCATCTCTGGTCAGCTCCTTTCACTTGACCGCAACCAGCGCAGGGCGATACGAATCGTCGACGAACGAGTTCTCTCTGATCGGCTCGATTCACTGGCGCTGCGAAGAGATGTTGCATCCCTTTGCATTTTCTATCGCATTTACTACGGGGTGCTCTGAGGAATTGTTTGGATTAATTCCAGCCGCCAAATTTCACCAAATCACATCGCGACAAAACTCACGTACCCATCCATATCATCTAGATGTTTAGGAGTCCACTACTGTGCGATTACTAGGAGTTTTCTTCCCCGATCGACTTCTTTATGGAATTTTTTACCAACAGCGATTTTTCCGGACCAATACGACATAGGGACCTTCAAGAAACAAGTTTACTCCTTTTTTAAATTTAATTTAATTTAGTTATTAGGTTTTTCTGTAAAGAAATTCTCAGTAACATCCCGGAGTCAGGAAGGTGGTGATTGGTGATGTTTCACCGTGCCTCGGAAAACACGTGACGCCGTAGGTCCTGCGTCTGATCTCTCTCCGGCCTTGTCGGACTACCGTCCCATATCGGACTATGAGAGTGAGGGAATACAGACCTGTAGACACCTGTGCTTGCAAATGCACTTGGGCACTATAACCCTGTGCTGCGCAGATGCCTAGTCTCCGTAGAGATTGACCGAAATTCGGTCTGAAGAACATTATTATTATTCACATAATAATAACTTTGTTTTAAAAAAATCATGTAGTAATCACAAGAAGACCCCCATAAGCAATAACCATTTACAACTATGCCGAATGTGACATTCAAGTTTGTCAAAAACACGATTGTCGGAGATATGTTTGCAACATCTTAACTATGCTCACAAAATTATGCAGCTACTGTTACGTCGCTAGCTTGATACGTACAGAATTTACAACAAACAAAGACCGATTAGTAATAAATTTAATTTGGCGGTTACCTCTTCTGGGGTACAGCAGTGTATTGGCACTACTGAATCAAAGCTGGCGAACTTCTTGCCGTCCTTATCGTGCAGTTCGGCGGGTATCGACATCGACTGCACCAGCCCCTTGTACACTTCATTTAATACTGTACGCTTTGACATTTCGCTTCTCTGTAAAAAAAAACCTTAACCATTAGATGGTTTAGCTATTTATTATATATTATAAAAAGGGTTATTATAATATAAATGAATACATGGTTAATAATAACCCCTGGGAATGAGGTAGTCACTTAAAAGCTGTTTCTAAAATAAAATTTGTAAATAGTTTGTACAACCAGTCACGTAAAATTTACTTTAAAAAAGTCCCGCTGGATTTTTTGCTGGTTCTTCCCAGGACAGAGGTTTTTTTTTCGAACCAGTGGTAAAGTAAAAAATGATTTTCAATAACAATTACATATGTGCTCTATATTGAATAAAAAATATTCTATTCTATTCTATGACATTAGCTTGCAATTTTCAGGAATATTAAATCATATACCTACGGCTCCGTGGCGTAGTCTCCTAGACTTCAGACAAGTTTGTTCCGGTACTCGCCGACTTTTCCCGAGCAATATTGACACAGCTGATGTATAAAGAATCACCTTTTTTTCGTTTTTTTTTTTATTGCATTTAAGTAACAACAATAAAGTTAAAATTAAAACATCCGCGTCTATACTTTTTTCTTTCGTGTATTACATCTTATTGCATTTTAGATATAGCACCCGCATCTTTTCTTTCCTGCTCCATCATGTGACCTTGAGACTGTCTTATCTCATAAGCTATACCTTTTTTTATAGGATAGGGTGACAAACGAGCACATAGTCCACCTGATGGTAAGTGGTTGCTGTGGCCCATAGACATCTACATCTATCCTTGTTTGCGAATCAAAATGCAGATACGTTGTCAGCCGTGAGGACTAAGATGGAATGCCTCTTTTCCAGTAAAAAAGGTCTCCGGTTCTCTACACTCATCATACGAAACACATCAGTGTTAAGCTGCTATTTTACGCTGGTATTCTCTGAGAGCGTGGTCCTTATCCGGTCGAGCCGACCCATTCGTGCTACAACTATACTACCAATATAGCTGCAGCATGGCTCTACCACGTATACCTAATGAGACCGTATACCTTACTTATAACCTATTCATTAAGACCATTTCAATGAGCCCAAATACAAATGTTACTGTAAGTTCCTGAGGAGTTACGCATAAGTTCGGGAATGCTGCTGATGCTATTAAATTCCTTCATCAACTTGAAAAGAGCTGATGATGTTCAAACGGCTAAAAAGGGGGCCTCGAAAATTGTACCGCCTAAGGACCCCGACATGGTTAATCCGGCCCCGGTATAATTAGTATAATAATAATCTAAAATAAATATTGTGAAACTAGTAAGTGTTTATCGAAATCACAAAAATAAAGCTCGCAAGTATAAATTAAATATTTATACATAATATTACTAGATGCTTTCTGTCTATGAGTTTGCATGGCTAGATACCATCCTCTTACCTATAGGTATATACTGCCAAGAAACAGGGAGTCCGAGCGAACGCTTAGAGTACCTATTTATAAGCAAGATATGCTTATTTATACTCTACGCCCCCCCCCCCCCCCCGTTTTGTTCTAATTTAAAAGGCATAAAGCACAAAAATAAAAATAAATCACTAATATATGGAGAGCCAGTATAACTTTGACTTGACACTTTTGGATATAATGGCTCCGAGAGGCAACCGTGCAACGTGTTAAAAACAAATGAAAAAATAGATTCGAAGTTACTTCAATTTAATCGTAATTATTACTCGTAATTTAATGGCAGTTATTGAATGTGGCATTATAGTAAAGTAGTTATTCGATTACGTGTTTGTGAGGAGTGGATCGCTCCCAGAACTTATTATCGACAAAATTCGAATTAAGAAAAAAGCCGTTAAGATAAAAGAAAAAAATATTGTGAAATCAATCGAAATAATTATAAATAGTAAGGGATATTTTAGCCGACTTCAAAAAAAAAGTGAGAGGGTATAAATGCAACTGTACCTCTGTATTTTTAAGTAGGTTTTATAAGTTCGCCAATTGGAACCGATATAAATCGCTGACATTAAAAATTTTATTCCCTATTTTTCTAGCATTCGGGGTGGAACTTTTTCTTCAAATTTATATGGGACCCCCGGTACATAACATGTTTGAATATTTAGGAAATTATTTAATTCTATTTAGTTTTTGAAGTCGTTTTTTTTACATTTTATTAAAAGTTTAAGTTTATGCGGAAACAACGCGAAATAAAGAATAATCATTAGATTTAAGTGATTTTCCTTTTCCATTGTTTTACATTAACACTACGGTTTTACATAACCGAATAAGTACCTACCTACATGACGCTAAAATCATTCCGGTATTTTGTTCAAACGACTATTTAATTTGAAAAAAAATGTTAAGCTTTTTGCATAATACTTTCACAAATGTTGATAATAGCTATAAAACCTAATTTTTTTTCGCATTAATCAATTATGTAGTCATTTGAAACTAATTCATATAGATTACAAATAAGTATAAAACAATGATACATTCGTAGATTTTTACACATTTGTGCAATATTTTGTTACAGAAAACCAAAAGGATATTTAGTATAAAACAGCCTCACCTTTAATTCCTGCAACACTTGATAAAATCAACGTTCTTAACGAGTAAACAAAACTGTATCCAAACAAATTATAATTCAAAGAGTATACTTTGATAAGCTATCAGATGGCCTGATACGAGCGATGTGACAGAAACCAAATTAGGCATTTATTACACGGTCGAATTATTATATCGTAAAATATATAATTCACGTAACTAGGTTTAATGATCTTCTTTCGCCTGTAAAAGTCTACTGGTAGACATGAGCCTCACCCGTTGTTCGGAGGATTTGTCCGGCGAATCGATGATTACAGTATCAGACGTCTCAAACCTTTGACACTGCTGCCCGGCGCTGGTCTACGTACTTTATGTAGGCCTAGTGTAAACGAGATTTTTTTTCATAGAAGATGGGTCAAGCTCACCTGATGGAAAGTCTCGACCGTCGCCTACGAACAACTGCAACACCTTAACCAACACCTTTGCTAACACCAGGGGAATTGCAGGTGCGTGGCCGTCTGAGATGGTAAGTATACCACAGATTTTTTTAGCATTGCCGACGTCACCAAAATCCACTCACAGTAACTGGCTACATATGAATTGTTACTCTCTCACAAACAGAGAGATGTAAACTTAAAACTGATGTACAAGAAATGCCAGAAAAATATCATTGATTTTATTGAATCTCGAAAAGAATCTAACTCTAACTTTAAAAGCTTTTTTTTAGAGGCTTTTTGAAAGCAGATTTAAGATGCCTTTAAAACATCGGCAACCCGCCTGCATGGGAATCACAGCAATGTCTCTCAAATCGGAAACACTGACATCTCTGTTTATCGGATTCTAACATAGGAACTATGTAGAGACTACTGATGATGAAGTAAATATATGAAAAAACTTATGTACCTAACAGTATGATTTCTATTATCGCGGTTTCATTTCAACATTTTTTAAATACCGACGTTGCGATAAAGTCATTAAACTTAGTGTTAGTTTTAGTTACGTAACAGTTTTGACGACTGCCTGACGCAATGACCAAAGATTAGATCGTGAAACTGCAGACCGCGAGTTCGATTCTAGCACGGTAGGTACAAATGTTTTGTTTGAACGGTCTTTTGTTTTGCGAAGAGTGGCTTTAACACCTAGAATTTTACGCTTTAGATTGTCTATGTGGAATTTATGCATGTAAGACTTCCTACACGACACAAGAGTAAAATAAAAACACATCTCTAAGGTAGTTCCCTCAGAGGAATTGCATTTCAGGTATTGGGGAGTGCAAATAGTGTGCGAATAATTCTGATGCATCTACGCTGATGGATAGGGAGCCATTTAAGCTTAGAACGATATAAGGATACATGATCGTATTTACGAAGACCGAAAATAAAACGGATGCAATTATTGAACAAACGATCCAGTTTTCACAGAAGTATTTGACACACACCAGGACACACATAACACACATCGGCATAATCAATGAACGGTAAAAAAAGTGTTCGCATCAACATACCCTTAGTCTGGGTTGGAACGAAATTCTTTAAAAGATAAAGACCACTCAGCGTGATTGTCACTCTGGCTTATTTCGGTCACCTGAGATTGCCAACTTAAATTAGCATCGATCATTAACCCAAGGTCTTTGACTACGTGACTAAGAAGAATATGTGTTATTGTAGACAAGGGCTACTGAGAATTATAGCTTGACGTTTTGCAGGATTAACAGCAATGCCATAACTTCTGCACAAGTCATAGATGCACTGAAGATCTGGCTTTAAAATATCGATCGCAGGTTAACCTCAGCATACAGATGGTAGGATCATTTGAAATTTACAGTTATGAGATTTATACAAATATAAAATAATCGTGTAACATTTTCAAAAAAAAAACATACATAGCGTCACGCCTGTAATCCACAATGGCAGAGTTCAAAAGGCAGCGAGTTACTCGGACCATATTTAGCCAAAAAGTATGGGTATAGAGTAAAAATTGTTAAATAAGTGATAGGTGGCTAGCCCAACGCCTACACAATCATAACACAATTGGCACATTATTTTTTATTATAAGTCCCACATAAATATGGGCCCTGTAAATCCCGCACCAACATGGGAATTAAGATAGAAAATAAAATTAAACTTGCCCCCGCAGAGCAAAAATTCTGATAGGGTAATAAAACAAACTATGGATATGGTATATTTTATTCTAATGTTTTTTTTTCGCCAGCCCGTAAGACTGTCTACAGACTGTCTGGGCTTCTAGAAAAAAAATTGTTCCAGGACTAGATGTCTGGCCATGTATTTATAACGATTCTGCGATACAGGACAAATTCCTAGTAAAGGCAAGGTTTCATTAGCAACCGCAGTTTTTTATGATTTTGTGCTGTAAGCAGGAAGATGCTGCCCATCTCCAAATTATGTTTTTTAAGAAATTTTTACGGAAGAGCGGGACATCCTAGCACTGATATATAATTTACTTAAAAGGTCCCAACAACGCATCTATTTAAACAAACCATGTAATTATAATAATAT